TAAGTTTCCAAAATGTCTCCTTTCTAGAGCTCAGGTAACAGACCAAGGCATTTAAAAGTCCTTAGTATATATTTCATCCTCTTGTCTTTTTTCAAATTTATCATATGTAGAATGATGTTTAATCAATCAGTAGTTGATGGGCTACTATCAAAAGCTTTAGAGTTTTTATTTTTAATAACCCAAAACTAGAAACAACCCAAATGTCCATTGACAGGTGAATGCATAAACATCCATACAATGAAATACTACTCATCAATAAAAAGTAATGCACTATTAATATACACAAAAACATAGATGAATCTCAAAAAAATTGTGCTAAATTAAAGAAGTCAGATTTTTTTTTAAGAGTACATAATACAGGAGCACCTGGGTGGCCCAGCCAGGTAAGCATCTGACTCCTGATTTTGGCTCAGGTCATGACTTCGTGGTTCATGACTTCAAGCCCCATGTCGGGCTCTGTGCAGAGATCCTGCTTGAGATCCTCTCTCTCCCTCTCCCTCTGTCCCTCCCCCACTCATGAGCATGTGCTTTCTCTCTCTCTCTCTCTCTCAAAAGTAAATAAACTTAAAAAGAAAAGAGTACATAATATAAAATCACATTTACATAAAATTCTACAAAATGAAAACTAGCCTGCAGTTTAGTGCCTGAGGAAAAAAGGGTTGAGAAGAGAAGGACTACACTGAGTAGGAGGAAGATTTTGGGGGGAAATGGATACATACACTATCTTGACTATGGTGATAGTTTCCCAGATGTACACAAATGCCAAAAAACTATCAAACAGTATACATTACATATAAGCAGTTTTGAAGATAATGTATACCACAGCAATGTTTAATAGTAAAAAGGGGGGAAGAATTTAAATGTCCATGTAGTTGATGGGTTGCTAAACAATACATTCACCAATGAAACAACAGAATATTACACAACCGTTTAAAAGAAAAATGTTAATAGCAGTAGACACACTTCTACTTCATTTACAGGCAAAAATGTAATTTTTATATAGTCATTTGATAATCAGCAAAATCAAAAATATTTCCAGCTCTACAGAAAAAGTAGTTAGATATCATCCAATTTTAGAAGAGATAAGGGATATTAAAGATCTGGTCTAATGTCCTCATTTTATACATAGAAACTGAGACCTATTTACTTGCATAAAAAAAGTAAGACCTTCCCATAAGGTCACAAAGCTATTCTAGTGCATCATCTTGATTTCCCTTCTACTCCACTCTCATACACATGGCATGCCTCAGTTCTCTGACACATTACCTCTTGTGCTTTCTCCCTACCACATCTGTCACTAACTTGTATGATCCTGACCAAATGAATTAAACCCTGAAACCGTTTTAACTAGTTGATCTACAAGGCCACCTTTAAATCCACATTCTAACACTCCCTAAGCTGCTGAACCAAAAACAGCGACATCAATGAATTCTTAGTGTAATGTCTGAATATAAATAGGCAAGAAAGCAAGACTGCTTATGCAGATTATCTAATTTACAAATTTACAAGCCATGAACAAGGGATTAAGTGGTACTCTGACCCTTGTCATAACTGTTCACACTTCTGTGTACTAGAAGAAAGTGCTTTTTACTACTAAGTACAGAACTGAACAAGTGTGAATTTAAGATGATAAATACATGTGGTTATCACCACCACATCTGAGTATCAAAGCGACTGGAGAGTTATTAAATATTTTCACTGAAAACTGTGCCTATGTTCTTGTACCACCTCAGAAGCCATTCCCTAAGGTTCTCCAGAACAGCAATATCATTCTCCATGGTGGCTTCATAGATTTATGCCAACAGGTGCAAAAACAGTATTAAAAGAAGAGTAACCAAATTCTCATCAGAATGCCTACCCAAAGTTGGTATACCCAAAGGTGGTATACCTCACAGGTCATTTGCTTCTGCTGAGAATAACACACACACACACACACACACACACACACACACACACACGGACACTAAGTTCACTCAAGCATGTACACAGTGATCTAAACAATCACACAGTAATTAAGTTGTGAAAATAAATTATTAGGACTTAAGAAAATTCTATGAAAATAATAACATACATTAAAAGAAAATCTTTCCCTTTTATTTTTTTTTAATTTTTTTTTTTTTAAGGTTTATTTATTTTTGAGACAGAGAGAGACAGAGCATGAAGGGGGAGGGGCACAGAGAGAGGGAGACACAGAACCGGAAGCAGGCTCCAGGCTCTGAGCCATCAGCCCAGAGCCCGACACGGGGCTCAAACTCACGGACCGCGAGATCGTGACCTGAGCTGAAGTCGGATGCTTAACCGACTGAGCCACCCAGGCGCCCCAATCTTTCCCTTTTAATTAGTCATAAAGTAGAATATCCTTTGCTAAATATATTGAGGAGAGAATCTGGCTTATAACCACAAAAGTTGCAAATGTGTCATTTTAGAGAGGCTTACAGATTTCAGAAAAGCCCCAGAAATCCTTGGAGTAATGTTAGAATTGACAGTTTTTTCCCTTGAGTGAAGCAGAAAAGCACACGGTTAAGAATACAAGATCCATAATAAAGTGACATGTTTTCTAAGCCTTAAGTTTCTTCATATATAAAGTTGTGGAGAGGGGACTATGTGTGCCTATTATACTTGATAGTGTAATTATGAGGATTAAATGAAATAATGCAAGCAAAAAACTTTATATAGCACCAGGCATACATTAAACAGTAATAACTGTTCTTACTACTATTATTAGTACTATAATCTTAATTATTCTACTCAGAAAGGTTAAAGACTCAATTAAAAGGGAAGGGCACCTGGGTGGCTCACTCTGTTAAGGGTCATACTTCCGCTCAGGTCATGATCTCACAGTTTGTGGGTTCGAGCCCATGTTGGGCTCTGTGCTGACAGCTCACAGCCTGGTTCAGATTCTGTGTCTCCCTCTCTCTCTCTCTCTTTCTCTCTGCCCCTCCCTTTTCATTTTCTCTTTCTGTCTCAAAAAATAAATAAACATTAAAAAAAGAGAGCCAATTAAAAGTGAATGATCTGTCCTGTAGAAAAGGAGTAAGCTAACTACAGGCTGCTGCACACCTGAGTCCTTTGGTTCGGCATGCAAGCTAAGGAAAGTTTTTACATTTTTAAATGGTTGAAAACATTCGAACAAAATCAGTCTTGACATTACTATTTGTAAGCTCTAATCCCACTATTGGTATATAATAAGAAGAATGTGAAAAGGCATGAACATATATTTTAATTGGATAAATAAAAAATAAGAGCTGAAACCAATGGTAAAGTTAAATGCCAAAAAAGAATAGAAAACTCAGTCACATCCAATTTCACTGATCCTACAAGCTAACTCATTACCTTTGGGGAAAATGAAAGGTTGACATAAAGGAAGATATTTGGAAGTTACTGTAAGATGCAAAGGGGAAAAATGCAATTATAGGACAGGAAGAAATAAAAGTGCAAAAAAAGAGCAGAATATGCTTAACCTACATACAAACAGAAAAGAGGAGGGAAATGAGAGAGAAGATGCAATAACAGAAATCATAAAAGGCAGAACAAACACAGTATAGGGTGCTTATGGGGAAGTATAAATCAGCAAAGGATAACATTTGATTATAACACAATTAAAAACATGAGTTCAAAATCTGTCCATTATTCTCTTCCTCTCCCTCCTTTCCCAAAAGGTCTTGTTTGATTTTGAGAAATTATAAGGAAAATGTTTCAAGATTTCATTAAGTATCTATAAATAATCTGCTCCAGAGATTAAATAATATTTGGTATGTTTAAGGAGCAAAAGAATTTATATACCCTGATAGAAAAGGGAACCTGCAAGAAGATTAAATTACTAAAAAATTACAAAGTAACACACAAATCAAGTATATCGTAATTCTGTTGGAAGAAAGGAAGGCAGAGGAATTCATATTCCAACATGTGAAGAGGACTGTAGCTTAGAGCTTGAGAAGCGTCTGAAATACCAGGAGGGAGAACTTGAAAAGGAATCAAAGAGGGATGAATAAAAATATAGCCAAGTAGCATTAATGAATTTGTGAGTTAGCAAGTAGCTAAAGTCATAAATGCATCCCATCTAGAATAATTATGCTATTTTCTGTAACAATCCAGCATCAGCGATAACAAGCAGCTGGAGAGACTGAAAAAGTATGGAAACTGTCAGAGCTGATAGAGCAGAAAGTCAAGATGGTTAGGCTTTCCAATACATTATTATGAGTGAGAATGAAATTATTGATAATAAATTTCTGGCTGTAGAATGGAAAACGAAGCCAGAAGGAAGGTACCAAGTTAGGAAAATAGGCAAAAATTAAGAGGCTAGTCTAATTATAGTCAAAAATAAAATATAAGTATTCAAGAGGCATGATAAATTACAGGAATGTATTTCTGCATTATTTCATGAAAGCATTCTGTGATTAGATGACCATGAATATATGGACAATGGTAAAATTAAAAGGAGAAGTCTAAGTACATTTTCTACTCTGAAAATGTAAAACAAGGACTCTCCTGACAAATTACCATCATATAAAGACCATGGTAGAGGACAAAATCTAACATGATAAACCTTCAGTCTTACCAAGCTAAAGTGAAATCATTATTTCAAGATTCCAAAAAGAAATATTCAAAGGATTTAGATATTACCAAATACCTAAAATATTCCTTAAACACTATACAAATATCCACCTTGAAATTTACATAAGAAGATAATGATACTTCAGTAGGCCACACACACAAAGGCATTATAGCATTAAATGACCGGCTGATATCAGAATATAGAATTTCCAGTTCAATCAGTGTTGTTGACTCATAGTTCATATAGAATTGGTTGTATCATATCAACAAAGTAGGAACGGCACGGACTGACAAGGAAATCACCTCTTTATAATAGATCTATTTTTCATTAAGTTGAGACTTTGGCTGTGAAACTATTTTCACCTCAGATTTTGTATGTCTCACATACGTTTAACTATTTATATGCCTCTTTGCGAAAGGCTACTTGATAAAATTTAAGTACTTACTAATATCATCTTCATGATAAATGACAGAATGAAAAGGTAGAGTTCGGTCTTTAATATATCTCTCTGCTGGCTCAACATAAAATGTGCCACCACGAGTCTGGATGAATCCTTCAAATCTTCCATCAATAACAGACCCATGGCTAAGACTTCCTTCTTCACCTATTAATGAAAGGAACAAACTCTTGAAAAGTTAATTTGCAGGTAAATGTTAAATTCATTCTCCTTTAAAAAGCCATTCTTATACATTTTAAAAATGTGAATACAAATTTATTGGGGAAACTAATTTTCACATAAAATATATCAAGCTGAATCTGAGATGTGAACAGCAACTAGTACTTAGTTAAAATCTAAACAGTTAACTAGACAACAACAATCAGAAATAGAACATCTATCTCTCCTTGGCAATCATATTCCCAGCACCTAAGCATAGTGCCTGGCAAGCATTCAACAGTCACTCAATAAATAATTGTTACATTAACTCAAACTCAGAAAGAGGCAAGCAGATCCACTGATACAATATGTACTTTCAAAATAAAGATATTAAATAATCTTTTGGGTTTTTGCTCTCATTACATAAGCAAAAAGTTCTTTTCCCACCTGATATAATCTGCATGAGACTTTTGGCATCCTTTTTTTATAAATACATTTTTTAAATAAGAAAGTCTCAAATATTTCAGAAGTAGTTTGAACAAAAAGTAATCCAATAATACTTTTTAAGATACTAGATTTGTAATACTGCCCCATCAATTATACTTCTCTAGTGAAAGAAAATATGGGATAAAAAAAAAAGGTATTCTGAGATATTCACAAAGAAAAGCTGAGCACCAACTGTCACATGACAAAAAGAAGTGGAAGTAGGAAGATGGTGCTTTAAAGTTCAATTTACCTGTTAAAATTTTCTCACTAAAATAAGTATCAGGCTTTCCACAATTTCTAAACTATAGATTAACATTAATTAACTGACTGTGAATTAACTAAGGACTAAAGCTAAGAACCCAAGACACTGGTATTTTAAATGACATGATTTCTATCTGCAAACTTATTTATTATTAGTCTTGTACTTTTCTTAGCCATCGCCTAGCAAAGAATTGCAGACACTAAGTTATCTTCGCAGAAAGATAAATAGGGAATAGGGAATAGTAGAAAACTATAGTTTGAAACTGAAAGTCTAGACTGACAGAAAAACACTTTCCTTTGTTTACAAAATTAAAGAGTACAAAAAACTTTCATTAACCAAGTTTCATCTACAAGTGAGAATTTGTAAGTATAGAAATGCCTCATTTGTCTGGCATAATAAAAAAAATTAGAAACAGTTTTAAAAACTTAATTTTTCATAACGTTATGATTTTGAGCAGAAATCTATTACATAGAAATGAAATTTAACTTTCAGTCAACTGTCTTAATAACAGAGAGTTATCTTATTTATCAATATACAATTATAATACTACTTTGATCCTCTCTAATCCCTCCAGAAGACTTTGACTGTTTTTCCCACACTACTAAACTGTCAAATGTAACTTTCTCTTGGGTGAAGTGTGCTCCCCATCCCCACAGTACCTTTTTAATCAGCTGTAGTAAGAGAAATTTGCTAGACTGTAAACACAGCAAACAAATTCTGAGAAAGGAAGGCCCTGAATGGATTTTCCTATGCATAACTTTGTCACATTATTTTTGGCTGTTAAGATGATCTTTACAGTTTTCCTTTAGATTTTTCCTCTTTCCTTATAAAACACATCCAATTTCTTGCTTGAAAGATTAAAAAATTATAAAAGCCATTAAAAATTTTTTTCAAACTAACAGTTTGTAGGTACTGAGAATCAAAACATCATACCTTTCAGAAACGAGGAACTATATAATTCAATATTAAAAATACATGAAAAGATAGATCCAAGGGTTACTTCATTCTTCAAAGACCATTATCCTTCATGATATACTTAAATCTACAAATCTCCTCAGGATCTCTCTCCCACCATTCTGTTTTTTGTTTTTTAAATATAATTTATCGGCAAATTGGCTAACATACAGTGTGTAAAGTGTGCTCTTGGTTTTTTATCCCACCTTTCTGAAATATATGTCTATACCTCAAAATACATGTGTTTCCTTGTGTAGAAAAAACTGAAGAAAGGAATTCTTCTAAGGTTCAACTTACCATAAATATGTCCAGTGTAAATATGAGAGGTATCATAATCAAGTACTTCATTTGATGTTTCTACTTTAAATTCATTACTGAAAAGGGATGTATCCCTCTTCATCCGTAGGTTGAAATGTCTGCAAAACAGAGAAGTAACGGGAAAAAATGAAATTAAAAGGACCTAAATTTTAAACAATTTTTTGGTTAAATTTTTGGTCTGCAAAATATAAACTGTTTCACACAATTTGTCTACTTGGGAAATATACTGTCCAAGATTTCTCTTATAAAACTTTTGCTCTAAAATTCAATCTAGTTGTTATGACACAAATCTAAATTATATTCAATTAAACAGTAACTGTCTAGGATATATTAAAGAATGAATGTGTCTATAGGCTGATTCCTATGTGGTAAAAACAAGTTCATTTCAACAGCAACTAAGTTGCTTGGACATAAAAACACGTTTCTAGACCCAATTACTATTATTCACCACTACCTGCCTTCTCTCTGTAGTTATTCTTCAATGTTGCCATTTCCCCCTACTCTTCACAACTCAAATAATACATTAAAAACTGGCACCTACATTAATGACTTCTCAGAAAAGCAAGTATGCATGCTCTTTCTCTTACACACACACACACACACACACACGCACGCACACGCACACACATGCACACACATGCACACACATACAAAAGCACAGCTTTCAACTCATATTTTTTCCTTGGGACTTTTAATTCTTCTGTCATTAGATCTTCCTCCTGAGTTCAATTTGAGAAGCCCAAAAGACCATGATATTAGCTGAAATCATACTCAATTGTCCTCTATAGACTAACAAGAAAGACCAAAATATTGAGGTGAAAATAATCAATCTAGGGTTGAGTCAAACTTGAAATCACATCTTATGTCTAAAATCTACTAGCCAAGGATTGCAGTCTGTCAAATGAAGATAATACATTCTATCTTGTAAAACTCTTTTAAGGGCTACACAGTACCCGGCACATAGGAGATGTATAATAAATGGCAACTAATTAGCTATCATTACTAAACTCTTAAAAGTATATCAAGTCTCTTTTATAACTGTCATAAAAGTCTGCACATAGCACAATTTCTACTCAAAGAATCTAAACTAAAGTGTTCAATTAGCAAGTGCCAAATGTTAGTAGGATATGGAGTAACTAGAACTCTCCCACATGGCTGGTAGAAGTACAAAATGGTGAAATCACTTTGGAAAACTGGCACTTTTTTTTAAGTTAAACATATGAAAACCCTCTGACCCACAATTCTATCCCAAGAGAAATGAAAGCAAAAGTCCATAAAAACAAATTGGACACAAATGCCCATAGCAGTTTTGTAATAGACCAAAATTAGAAATAACCCAAATGTCTATCAACAAGTAAAGAGATAAAGACTGTGACTTATTCATACAATGGCAAACTACTCAGCAATAAAAAATATCAAACTACTAAAAAATACACACTTTGTGAAGACATAAAAGAACATATATAGTATAAGTCCATATATATGTAATCTAGAATAGGCAAAAAGCTATCTATACAGAAAGTGGACTGGTGGTTGCCTGGGGTAGAGAGACACTAAGGGTAAAGGCAGATGAAGGAACTTTTTGCTATGATGAACAGGTTCTATATCTTAATTTGAATGGCAGTTACACAAGTATATAAATTTGTCAAAACCTAACTCACACTATACACATGAAATGAGTACTGTTGACCTTTGAAAAACATGGGTTTGAAGTGCCTGGGTCCACTTATACATAGAATTTTTTCCATAAATACAGTACTGTACTGCTTTCTTAATAACATTTTTTCTCTAGCTTACTTTAAGAATACAGTATGTAATACATATGACATACAAAATATGTGTTCATCAACAGTGTATATAATCAGTAAGGCTTCCAGTCAACAAGAGGCTATCAGTAGTTAAGTATTGGGGGAGTTAAAGGTGTACATGGGTTTTTGACTGCGTCGGAGGGTTGGTGTCCCAACCCCCACACTGTTTAAGGGCCAACTGTGTATTTTATTTTATGTAAATTATACTTCATGCTCACTTTGGCAGCACATATACTTTAAAAAAAAGGTAAATTATACTTTAATAAAATTTATTGTAAAGAAAAACTCACTTTTCAAGTAAATATGGTCAACACAGTATACTTATTAGCTTCAGAAAGAGTGTCCCTTTCTCAACTTTATATTTTCTTTAATTTCATGTCAACTGTGGCACTCTTTTATTTTGAGGCTGTACTCATTTTTTTACTTGCCTAAAACTCTCACGAAACCACTCCTAAAGCTTCTCAGGTGTTGTTTCAAGGACTCTACACTAGGAAAAGCATCCTTAGAACCTTAAGCCTTCAATCTCCTGCCCCAAATAATCAACAAAGCCAAACAAAGTTAAAAATAGACTATCGTGAATAAACAGGAATCCTGCCTGAATTCTTGCTGCACATTGTCTTTTCATAAGATTATTTTTGCTAACTGACAGGAAATTCTTGAATGTATATGCAGGTGTAAATATATACATTATTCTTAAAGGATCACAGTACTCTGAAAAACCATTAACTTATCATTATATATATTTTTAATTCACTGTACAATTACTATCTGAAAACGAGCACTTCTGTTAAAGAGACTAAAACACTAAATGTCCAATGGCTTAATATATTTATCATTCAGGATTTATTATTCAGCAAAACTGTTATGCCCTAAAACTGTTATAAACAGAGCATATTCTATATGCAAAAAAGGGAAGATATAAGCTTCAGAAAGACATTTAAGTTCAATATAAGAACAATCTATGCTACACTCCCTACCCCTAAAAAATAGTTCTACATCACTTAAAATGTCTAAGCACATAGCAAATATAGAGGGATGTTGTAATACAATTTAAGAACACTTAAGGGCGCCTGGGTGGCTCAGTCGGTTAAGCAGCCGACTTCAGCTCAGGTCATGATCTCGCGGTCTGTGAGTTCAAGCCCCGCGTCAGGCTCTGTGCTGACAGCTCAGAGCCTGGAGCCTGTTTCAGATTCTGTGTCTCCCTCTCTCTGACCCTCCCCCATTCATGCTCTGTCTCTCTCTGTCTCGAAAATAAATAAACGTTAAAAATTAAAAAAAACAAAACAAAAAAAAAACACTTAAAACAGGTACCTTCCAACCCTGATACTGACAGCATAAGAAAATCATCTCACATGTACAAAATATTATTCTCTATATTGATTTAAACTGGACTAAATCGTATATAAAATCAGTTCTCAATTACCCATGCATAGTCAGTCAGGTCATGATCTCACAGTTCGTGATATCGAGCCCCACATCAAACTCTGTGCTGATACCACAGGAGCCTGCTTGGGATTCTCTCCCTCTCTCTCTCTCTCTCTCTCTGCCCCTTCCCCGCTCACATGTGCACATGTACACACTCACACACTCTCTCTCTCTCTCCCCCCCCCTCTAAATAAATAAATAAATAAATAAATAAGTAAGTAAATAAATAAATAAATATTTTGAAAAATCAAGCATGTATCAACAAAAGAGGAAACGGAATGACAGTGAGGCTGAAAGGCAGGCAAATGGTGGAAAGAAGCCAAACTGAGTTAAAGTTTGTCACAATCTATGAAACAGATTAACTATGAATAAATAATCAGGAGCTGGGCATAATTTATTCCATTAACTAAGCCACTGAATTCAAATTCCTTAATTTTAATTCTACTACCATCAGTTTAATATATATCTTTATGCTATTTTAATATTTCTATGAATTATAAATTCTTTGCCGCCTCTGTATTAAACATAATACAAAATAATAATAATTAAATACATTCTACTTTCCAGTTTCTCAATAAGCCCTGAATAAAAAACTATCTGAAAACTTGGCTTTTAGTTGTTTAAACTTTTGGCTCAAAGGCCAGAAAAAGTATAGTGAACACTGCCTTATAAAGTCATAATACTCTGGAAAAACAGTTTGATGATTCATCAGAAGTTCCTAGAATGACCCTAATATGTTCCTAATATGTTCCTAATGTTCCTAATATGACCCAGCAATTCTTCTTCAAGGTATACAGCCAAAAAACTTAAAATCGGGGACTCAAACAGATTCTTGTACACCAATGTTTATAAGAACATTATTCACAATAGCAAAACATGGAAACAACCCAAATGTCCCCCAGCAGATGGATTAAAAAGTGTATGTATAAGTGGTATAAACACACAATGGATTATTCAGCCTTAAAAAGGAAAGAAGCTCTGATATATGCTACAACACGGATGAACCTTGAAAGCACTTTGCTACGTCAAACACAAAAGGACAAAGATGGCATGACTCCATTTATGGGAGGTACCTAGAATAAGCAAATTCCTAGACATAGAAAGTAGAATAGAGGTTACCAAAGACTGATGAGAAGGCAGAGAGGGGGAATTAGTTTGATGGGTATAGAGTTTCTGTTTGAAAAGATGAAAAAGCTATGAAAAGGGATAATGGTGGTAGTTGCACAACACTATGAATGTACTTAATGCCACTGAACTGCATACACTTAAAAATGGTTTTGCCAGGGCGCCTGGGTGGCTCAGTCGGTAAAGCGTCCAACTTCTTTCAAGTCATGATCTGGCGGTTTGTGAGTTCAAGCCCCATGATGGGCTCTGTGCTGACAGCTCAGAGCCTGGAGCCTGTTTCAGATTCTGTGTCTCCCCCTCCCTCGGCCCCTCCCATGCTCATGCTCTGTCTGTCTCTGTCTCTCAATAATAAATAAATGTTAAAACTTTTTTTTAATGGTTTTGGGGCGCCTGGGTGGCTCAGTCAGTTAAGTGTCCGACTGCAACTCAGGTCATGATCTCATGGTTCGTGAGCTCGAGCCCCGCATCAGACTCTACGCTGACAGCCTGGAGCCTGCCTCAGATTCTGTGTCTCCTTCTCTCTCTGCTCCTCGCCACTCACACTCTGTGTGTGTCTCTCTCTCAAAAATAAACGTTAAAAAAATTTTATTTTTAAAAAATGGTTTTGTGGAGGGGTGCCTGGGTGGCTCAGTCGGTTAATCATCCAACTTTGACTCAGGTCATGATCTCGCAGTTCATGAGTTCGAGTCCGCAACAGGCTCTGTGCTGACAGCTCGGTACCTGGAGCCTGCTTCAGATTC